TTAATTCCTTCAATGTGTTTTCTTGCAGTTCTTTAAGAGATTTTTGTGTTTCCTCTTTAAGGGCTTCTTGTGCTCTCCTGTACAAGAATGGAACAGTTGCCAGGGGTGTTTCATTGGGTGTAGGAAGATAGAAAAGTGGTCTGTTGGGCCAGAAAGAATCCTGGTTTAATATTTGGGACGTTTGAGGTTTCTATTTCAAAAAAATTTGTTTAATTATTACTGTTTTTATTTAAATGGTGTGTGTGTGTGTGTGTGTGCATGCATGCACATGCATGAGCATGTGAGTCCAGTGAAGCCAGAAGAGAGTGTGGGAAGCATTGGAGTTGGTGTTGCAGGCAGTTGTGTGCTTCTGGGAACAGACCTTGGTCCCCTGGTACAGTGTCTGGTACTCCTAATTACAGATCCATCCCTGCAGCTCCAGAGATGCCTCCAAAATAACCCAAAACAATAATCCATTTTTGTATGATTGTAACAAGTGTTTCACATGCATGTATGTCTGTTTTGCTTGCATGTATGTCTGGGTACCTCCTGTGTGCCTCAGAAGAGGGCATCGGATCTTCTGGAACTGGAGCTGTGAGCTGCCATGTGGGTGCTGAGACTCAAAGCTGGATTTTCTGCAAGAACAACTGCTCTTAGCCACCGATTTACCTCTTTACATGAAAATACATGGCTAGCCCGTGACTTCAGCTTCAGGTCATCCAACACCCTGTTCCATCTCCAATGGATACCCACTCACATCTAACATATGCACACGTATAGACAGATAAATAAATACATCCATACAAACATACCTCTCACATCTAACATATGAACACATGTAGACCCATAAATAAATACATATACACATACCACTCACATCTAACATATGCACACATGTAGACACATAAATACATATATAAATACCACTAATATCTAACATATGAACACATGTAGACACACACAAATGAAAAAAGAAACAAATAAAATTTTAATTAAAAAATTAAAATTCAGGAGTGGAGAGATGGCCCGATTGTTAATAGCTCTGGCTATAGACCAGGCAGGCCTGAAACTCAGAGAGATCCACCTGCCTCTGTCTCCTGAGTGATGAAATTTATTGGCGTGCCTGGTTCCGTGCCTAGTTTTTTTTTTTTTTGGAGACAGGGTTTCTCTGTGTATCCCTGACTGTCCTTGAATTCACTCACTCTGTAGACCTGGCTATCCTCGAACTCACAAATCCACCTGCCTCTGCCTCCCAAGTGATCAGATTAAAGGCATGTGCTACCACTGCCCAGCATCCCTGCCTATTTTTGAGTATACAAATACTTAGGTTTAATGAAATTGTTGTTGCAAAGATTACCATTTGCCTTATAGAATGGCCCACAATGGGCTGGGCCCTCCCACATCAATCACTTTATCAAGGAAATACCCTACAGGCTTGCCTTCTGCCCAATCATTTGAAGGCATTTTCTCCATCGAGGTTCCCTCCTCTCAGATGACTTTAGTTTGTGTCAAGTTGACATAAGACTAGCCAGGACAAGGTCTAATGTGGTTGCAGTCAGATGATGTTCCTGGCTGCAGTCATCCTCAGAACCTCTGTATTCTGTCCTCTGCCTGGGCTGCAGGATCTGAGCTTCTCCTTCGGCCTTCTTCCTCCCTCTCTCTGGAAGGGTGTTTTGAGCCTTTGCTGTCTGTTTACAAAACCTCAGGATAACCAAATGTCTTACTGGAAGCTGAAGACTGTGATGGCAAGTTTCCCAAGCCAACTGGATAATGCACTGAAGCCTGTTATTAAGAGCTACAGACATCTTGCCGTACCCAGCAAGGTCTCAACTGTTTGCAGCATGCACTGGTTAAGAACCTGTGTGCACTCTTGCTCTGTCCCTCATTAATGTTGTTAAATTAAGGTGATATTAAGGATTTCCAAACATTGTGAATGTGCAAATATGTCTTTATTCAATAACTGCAGTGGCCACTCATGGTGGCCCCTAATAAAATATACATCTACGTCCCAATCCCTGGAACTTGTATAGTCCTAATTGACAAAGGTGTGAATGTCATTTAATATGATAAAATATATGACTGTAGGACTGGGGACATGGGTCAACAATTTAAAAAAGCACATACCGCTTCTACAGAAGACTCAGGTTCTATTCCCAGAACCTTCTGGGGCAGCCCACAACTGCCTGCAAGTCTAGCACCAGGGAGATCTGACACCTCTAACTTTGTGGGCACCTGTGGTCATGTTTACAAACACAAACACTCATTCAGGTAATTAAAAAGACATATGTGACTGGGTTATGAATCTCAAATGAGGAACTTATCTTAGTTTTCCTAGACATGCTCTGAATACATTTACAGATGACCTAAAAACAAAACATCCTAGCTGGACTATGGTGGTATTGGTGTTCGCCTTTAATCCCAGCACTTGGGAGGCAGAAGCAAGCAGATTTCTGAATTAGATGTCAGCCTGGCCTACAGAGTGAGTATCAGGACAGCCAGGGCTACACAGAGAAAATCTGTCTCAAAAAAAAAAAGATCATCTCATCTTGATGATATGCACCTTTAATCCCAGCACTGAGCAGCAGGCAGAGGCAGGTGGGTCCCTGTGAGTTCCAGTCCAGCCTTGTCTACATAGTGAGCCTAGGCCACCAGAGCTACATAGTGAGATACAACAAAGCAGAGAAGAATGTAGACCTGGATGAGAACATTGACTGGTGGCAGAGACAGAGAACAGTGTGATGCTTCTCAGGTCCAGGGATGCCAGGGTAGATTCTGGGACGATGGCAGAGACAAGGAGTGCATTGTCTCCTAGTGTCCCTTCAGAGAACAGGGCCCTGCCACTGTCAGATAAGCAATGTCTAAATCTGGGAGAGAATATATTTTCCCACACACCCTATCTCATTTACACTCACATATTAATGGGCCCCAGTAAGTTACTGCAACAACCGTCTTCTACTCACCTTGTATGGTGAATATCAGAGCCTCAGAAAATGTCTTTCAGCTCATTTCTCTACTGGTCACTTGATGATCCCATTGCCAGATGGCCATTATTGAGATACTGGTTTAACTACAGCGAGAAGAAGTGTCTGTTTAGGGGCAGGAGAGTTCGCTCAGTGGTTACGAGTACTGGCTGCTTTTCCAAAGGACCTGGGTTTGATTTTTAGTACCCACATGGTGTCAGTACCACTCACAACTGTCTATATACTCAGTTCCAGGAGGTCAAATGCCCTTTTCTGGCTTCAGCAGGCAAGAGATTTCATGTTTGAGGCCAATCTAAACTCCACAGTGAATTGTAGGCCAGCCTGGATCATAGGATGATGTCCTCTTTCATTCAGCCACACAAACACAGACAGAGACAGAGACAGAGACACAGATACACACACACACACACACACACACACACACACAGACCCTTTAAACAATTTTACATTGTAAAGATTATCAGATCTCCTTCATGGATGGAAAATATCCATTGTTATGGTGTCTGTGGTATCAATGCCTCATGACTATTACAAGGAGTTATAACAGCTCTGCATGTGAACATCTAAGTCAGTCACTCAGGAAAAGAAGCCAGGGCCATCTTCTGTCTCAGCAAACATGCAAACAGAAAGTCCAAAGCCAAGCACTGTGGCACACATCTTTCATCCCAGCCCTTGGGAGTCAGAGGCAGACAGATCTCTTAAGTTTGAGGCCTGGACTATATATATCAAGATCCAGGCTAGTCAGTCAGGGCTAGATAGTGAGACCCTCTCTCAAAATAAGACAAAGGAAAGAAAAAAGGAAGAAAATTGATAAAAGTATAGCACAAGGAGGCCTCTGGCTCCTTTTGGGCCTGCACTGTGGCCTGTAGTCCCCTCTTCAGGCTGCTTTGCTTTTGCTGGGTGCCTCACATTCAACCCTCCAACTCTGTAGTAGGGAAGTCAGGGGTGGGGTCTGCAGTCCTCAAAACTATTTTCAGTCTGAATCAGTAGAGAGCATAGTTTAAAAAGTATGTCTGTGTGTATATACATATATCCATCTTGTATGTGTGTGTCTCTGTGTGTATATACATATATCCATTTTTTATGTGTGTGACCACGTATGTATACATGTATCCGTCCATTGTGTATGTCTGTGTACACTCTATCATAGTGCTGGGTTCCTTGAGTTATTGTCTTTTTGTTATTTTGTCTTTTTTTTTATTTCATAGCTTAGGACCAAACACAGGGCCTTGAGCTTTCTGGGAGATTGCTCTACCACTGGGCTAAATCCCCAACCCTGAGTTATTATCTTAAAAGACACAAAATCACACTTACCAAGGGTCCAGGACATAGGCTCTACCCTGTGGATACACAGGAGAAGGTAATGTTAGAATAAAAATATATTCCAGCCAGGCAGTGGTGGCACACGCCTTCAATCCCACCACTTGGGAGGCAGAGGCAGGCAGATTTCTGAGTTCGAGGCCAGCCTGGTCTACCAAGTTAGTTCCAAGACAGGCAGGGCTACACAGAGAAACTCTTGTCTCCAAAAACCGTTATAAAAAAAGTAAAAATACATTCTGATTTCTGGTTAGTAATACAGTGAACAAGAACAAAATCTGCATGATTCTTTACTTTTCTATTTTTGAAACAAGGTCACATTTTAAATTAGTGTGTTACTCTGTATTTTCTAGAAAGTTCTGACAAGTACATCATCAATTCGGGCTACCCCAGCTCATGTACATTTTTGGTCTCCACAGTGCCAGGCAGGGGTTGTTGAGCTCATCTATGCGATGAATAACACTGTGGAGTGAATTTAGGTGTGAAGACTCTTAGCTGAGTGTCTCTGGCTCCGGTGAGTGTGTGTGTGTGTGTGTGTGTGTGTGTTTGTGTGTGTGTGTGTGTGTGTGTGGTGAGGCTGAGAGTCTACACACCTGCAGCTTGCTACAATCAAAGCCTGAGGAGCTGCAGGTGGCAAGCCTGTTAAATCTTTGGCCAAGCCTTTAAAATTGGAGCAAGCTGGATAGGAGAAAGAAGAGTCACTGTGGACTTAGGCCATGCAAGATGGAGTTGTATTTGCCTAGTGAGCTACTGCTGGAAATCTTCTCCTATCTGGATGCTTTCAGTTTGCTACAGGTTGCCCAAGTGAACAAGGTAAAAGCTCCTTGGCTGAACTCCTCCATCTGGTGCATGACAAGGCCCTGGGCCTTTCCTGCTCAGTCTTGGAGTCTCAGATACCCCAGCATTGTACTCACACAGCCTGGCTTCCTTTCTTCTTCCTTTCTTTTGCTTCCTTTTCTCTTCCCATCCTTTTCTTCCCTTCATTTTCTTCCTCCCTTCTTTTTTCTTTCCCTTCCCTCCTTATTCAGACTGTCTACTCAGCTCTGACACGTTGATGTCTCGGGAACTCAGCTGCTTCTCTTGACCAACAGAAGCCCAGACATACAGAATAGCAAACGGGTACATCTAGGGATCATGGGTTAGCATTACCCACTCTAAAGACCTCAAATCCAGTGAAGTGAGGCAGGAGTGGTGGCACATGACTGTAATTGAAGCACTTGGGAGGTGGAAGCAAGATGACCAGGAGTTTGGGTCATACTCAATTACATGAAATTAGAACCAGCCCAGGCTACTTAGACACCCTATCTCAGAACAGCAGTAGTGACAACAAAATTCTGCTAAATGAAAAGAACAAGCAGCCCTGCGGAGATGTGCTGCTGATATGTGGCCTCCTTGAGACTCTGTGTCAGACCTGTGTAGACTGGCCCTCCTTCCTCTGAGCCCTCACAAGGTGACTTGTGTTTGCTGGGGTAGGTCTCTCCAGGCTGCCTGGGCCTGGGGAGCTAGGACTGTGCTTGATTAACCTGTGTAGGCCCAGCACAGAACAAATCGAGAGCAAGGGGAAGGGGGCAGTTGTTGATTGAAGGATTCTTTTCTCTCCCATAGTACTGGAATGCAATTTCAAGCAGTGATATCCTGTGGAAGTAAGGAGAGGGGCAGGGTGGGATGGGAAGAAGGGATGAGATGGGGCAGAAAGGGAAGAGGAGGCCTTCTGATTCTGGACCTGGATCTCTGCTGTGTGAGGATGGTTAGTGAATAAAAGTTTTGGGCAATGTAACCATTGCTCTAAGTTGAGGGGTCAGCCTGATGGGATTGCAACTGTGCATTGCAGGAAGTTGTGTGTGAAGAGATGGCTCTTCTGTGACAGTGTCACTCTACAGCTCCTGGGTACAGAGACATGGAAGCAGTTCTTCGTTTACCAAACATGGCAAGAACACACCAAGTCCCGGGCAAAGCCGGAAGTTTTCAGTTACAAGGAAATTCATGTGGAGTCTGGTATGGCCTTGGGTACAATAGAAGACACACCCACTTGGTTTTTCCCATCCTCTGCAGTCCTACATTCTCATTCAATAAGAGGAAGGGAATTGCAGCTTAACGGGATGGGGCTGCCATGCTAGCCTAGCCATAGAACCACTCTGTGATCTGCTGAGTGGTTACTCAGAATCATAAAACCAGCCCTGTTGCTCTCTTTCCCTGAAGGCTTCCCACCTTTCCCAGAGTATAGAGAGAATTTAATGGGGAAATTACTAGATAGGCTTTAGTATGTATCTTTTTTTCTAAAAACTTCCTGAGAACAGCTTTCTGATGGAGGCAAATTTCTTTCATTTATTATTTTTAGTGTGTGTGTTTGTGATGTGTGTACATGGCACAGTGTGTGTGTGTGTGTGTGTGTTATGTGTGTGTGTGTAGACAACTTTGTGGAATTGGTTCTCCTGATGAGAAAAATCTTACCGTTTCTGTTTGTTTTCAAACTATATTGCTGTGGCTAGCCTGGAACTTGATCTGTAGACTAGACCAGCCTCAAACTCAAGATCTGCTGCTTGCCTTCACTCGGACTGCTACATCTTTACTTCTGGCTGTTTCATTTCTTTTGCTTTTCTCTCTCTCTCTCTCTCTCTCTCTCTCTCTCTCTCTCTCTCTCTCT